GAATCTCCTGATCAAACAAAGCCTATATGGTGCTTATTCAGGCCAGTAAATAGAAATAAAAAAAATATACTGTTTAATAAATAAATAAAAAAACAACAGAGCATCTACTCAAATATGAGTATCCATTAAAAATAATATTTAAACAAATAAATTAAAAATATATCAGATTAATAAATGAAAAATCCATTCATATATATATATATATATATATATATAGGTAAAAAAAATTTTTGTTAGAAAGATTCTGTACAAAAACTTATTGTATAGACTAAAATGAGGATTGGAAAAAAAAGGCACCTAATATTTAATATAGTGATATTTATTTATAAAATATGAATTTTTACAGAGAATTAAAACGTTGTTATTTATAGAAAAAAAAAAAAAAAATGTCTTTAATAAATAAATTGTCGGACCTTGTCCATTTCTTAATATAGAGAATTAAAACTTTGTTACTTACAATTGGATTTTCAGTGTTTTTTTCTTAGAAAAATAATTTGTTGTTTTCCTTTTTTTTTAAACTTTTTTATTTTAACCAGTTTTTTGCTTCATATATATATATATATATATATATATATATATATTTAATGTATATAAAAGAGAAGAGAGAAACTGCAAACATATTTTGCTATAATGTGGATTTTTTAAATATATATTATACTTTATTTTCCATATTTTTGCTACACGCATTTCCAGTCTTGTGACCTTCATGAGGCAAAGACAGGTTATTTCCATATATTATTAAAAAGAATTAATGTTTTCTGAGGATTAACCATTGTCTTTTGTGTGGAAAACATAAGTAAAAATTAATTCTTTTTGTTTCTCTCTTCTCTTTAAAATATACACTTTTCTCTCAGTAGAACAACTATAACCTCTCCCTTATATATATATATATATATATAATTGACTCTCCCATCGAGATTCGACGTATGAGGGTCAAGCAGATCAGTTTCCAGGAAACCGACAGCCCGACACCGGCACATGAGATTTGATTATAGTGGTGAAGGCCTCGTGCAGGACCATCCACACTTTTTGAAGGGACGAATACAGAGACCTGGTGCACCAAATGCTACAAGGTTCCCAAACGACCCTCTGCAGATTTTGAATTCAGAGTTGTCCTTCTCCTAGACCAGTTGCCATCCAAGGCTATAGAACCCAGTCTGTCCTGCTATTTTACCCATAGCTGGAGGGGAGAGTAAGAGGATTCATACCTTTCCCAAGGGTATTAGCATCGTAAGTGAATGTAATGGATTCGACTGAATTTGAACTGCCTCTGCATCCCTCAATCCAAGCCACTATCCATTACTCCACTGTGCCTCATATATATATATATATATATATATATATATATATATATATATATATATATATATATATATATATATATATATATATATATATATATATAAAAATTCACAAGGAGTCTATAAGGAATAAACTACCTTGTTGTTATTAGTTTATTTTTTTTCTTCTTCTTTCAGTGGGCCAATATTGTTTTGATTATAGAACAAAGTGTAACAACACAAGAAAGAATAGAACAACAGAAGCAATACACGCAGTCTTTGGCTGACGGAAGACGGGTGCTGTCTATACGATGTCACAAGGATGTAAGTATGCAGTAACAAAAATGAAGATGTGCACAACACTTTTTGGACAAGTGAACGTTTTCTTACTATATTTACTGTTGTGATTATAAGATTTTTTGCCAATCTATTCTTCAGCCCCCCCCCCATCAGATGGGATACATGAGCAAAAAAAGAAACTTCTTTTTTTCAGATGAAAACTAAAGTATGGGTCAGCCAAACAGCAAATGTATAAAGAAGGGTTCAATTATTTGAGTAATGTTGGGCATATTAATGACTCTTTTTAAACTTATCAATAAAATCAAAATGTACTAGCAAGGTCACCTGACATTATCAGAGCTGTTTTAAAGAGGCAGTTAGTTTTGTTTTTTATTTTAATTAGTGTTCAGTATCGCAGTGGAAACAAGATAAACAGAGAAAATTGTTAGCAGCCAAACATATGTTCCTCTAAAACTCTAGAAAAGTGTGCCCTAAGTTAACAGAAAAGTAATTATTTTTATATTCAAAACATCTTTATTTTTAAAAAGCTTCTTTATTATTTTCGTATTTTCAACTTCATGACTAATTTATCTTTATTAAAATTCCACAAATGCCTCAATAATGACATGCTGCCAAAATACACACACATATACATATCAAGTTTTTTGCTTATATTATATATATATATATATATATATATATATATATATATATATCAACTCTTTTACATCATTATATATCAACTCTTCAACATCATAAATGGATAGATGTGTAAATACATATTTTTCTGTCCTAATCATTATGGGATGTTGGCTTATTCTATGTAATCTAAATATATGTAGGTATATAGCAGTAAGTATTAAGCCTTTATGCATTATTTTCTTTTGCAGAAACTAACACAGGTGAAGAGTGCAAATGATGATGATGATGATGATGACTGATGGAAACTCATCATGTACGATTTTCACAAGTACAAGACAACCCTGTGGTCAACCTTCAAGGGAAATTTGTACAATTTAATGTGACCAGAATGAACCCAGTGTTATTTTCATTTATTTATTTGCATTTGCAAATAATTACATGAAAGGTCTTCTTTTATATGTTATGTCTCTCATGGCATTCATTGTCACCTAACATTTAAGAGTTATCTCCCTTGAAGTATCTCTCTCTCTCTCTCCATTCTTTTTTTCAGTTGAACACAAAGACACCACAATATCATCATTCAGTTGCAATTCACCGATACCTATTTTTGTATTCTTTATGCTAGTGCATATTAGGAATAGCTTAATTCAATATCTTTGGATAAAATGCACCATTTCAACCATATAAACAAAATTAGACTTTTACAATTTTTTCATGCTGTGTCCCTTCAGCTCTCAATAGATTTCTTTTCTTTATTATGTATGAATTGCAATAACTTCTTGAGAATGAAAGCAGTTTTGAATTCAGAGCAGTCTTAGCATATGGCTGTCTAAATATGTAGGTAAAGACTTCTACTTATGTTCTTCATAAATATGATCAAAATTGCAAACTGGATTCAACACAAGACTTAGAAGACAATACCTGCCACAACCTGACACTTTTTACATATGGAAGTGCCATCTATTCAGGAAAACCTATTTTTTATATAAGCATTTATGTGCATAGATGTTTCAAATTCTCTGTTCAATCCAGCCAACATTTTAGGCATTTGATAAAATTATAATATCATGCTGAAAGCAGGCAACATTTATATTATTATTTCATGGTTTAGGAAAGAAAATGATTGATTGGTTTTACAGCATTAATCAACATTTTATAGGTTATTTAATACCAAAATGGTTTTTGTGTTGAAACAGTAAAATGAATAAACAGATAAAAATAATCAGTTTTATAAGAGAGTAAAAAGTAAAAGAAAAGAGCTGTTTGACCTCCAAAATGGTTATGCAAAAGTTTTTGTCTATTTCATATAAACTAAGCCAAATATAATGTTTTAAAACAGCAAAATATCTATAATGAAAATTTATTACATAATGTTCATTCCAGGAAGCTACTATACATTGTTAATATTTCATGTGGTTTCCCTTAGTTTGAAAAATGGCAAGTAACACTCATTTATCACTTGCAGTCTTCTTTGGATGCAAACTGAAGGAGGAGGTAACTCCGACAAGCATTTGTTGTCTTGATCAATTTCCATACCATCCCATATATACTGCAGTTTTAAAAGGCAACTGCATTTTGGTCAATTGGAAATAGTTTCCCTACTTTGAAAGTTCAAGATTTCAAAAATGCTGTTTTTTGAAATTCCAAGTTCCTTAGCTATAATTGCCTGCTTGTATTCTTGGCCATCTTCACAATCTTCAACCTGGTTTCTTTGTAAATTTTCACCTTGATTTTAAGCAATAAAAGAAAGCAGGAATTCCATGTAATAATTTTCATTATATTTAGGGAAAATTACTGCTGTTGTGTAAAAATATTTCCACTGATAATATGCAAGTAATTTTTCCTGACTCTTGCAAAAAGAGAAAGCCAAAATTGTCCGGTGGCCAAAAACTTTTGTTCAGCCATTTTTCTTCTCAAAAATTATTTCAAATGATTCTATACACCATAGCTACATTTGTTTCTTTAGCAATTTTTATCATAATGTCATAAAATTTTAATCTTATATTTCTAAACCTAACTGTCTACTTTATTCAGTGCATTTTATATGCAATTATATCTTTGCTGTTGATTTTAATATAATGCAATATTTTTTTTTATTTTCTAACTAGCAGAGTATGCATAAAAAATGACAGGATGATTTTTAATGAATTTGTCTTATTCAATATTACGGTTATCTTTTGACTTTAACTGAAAAGGTTTGATAGTTGTTCACTGACATGTTAAATGCTTTTTCATTCATTTTACAGATAGTAGCAAAACACCCATAAAAATTAACAGAATTATATCAGTATGGATTGGTACTAGAATCAGAGTGTATCATCTGTGTTGTGCTCTATGAAGAGGACTGCACACAAATTATATAAATATATATATGTTTGTGTGTGTGTGTGTGTAAGTAAACATTGAGGTCAACACCCAACAGCAACCGTCCATGCTTAAATGCAATCTTCAGGCCAAGTGTTGATCACAATGTCCACTTTTATATTTACATGCACTCTATCCCTGATATTGAGCACTTTGACTCATAAATATAGCATACCTTAAAACTATATTTTATCAGATATATATATATATATATATATATATATATATATTGTTACACATTGTGCTTTACATGAATGGATTAAAATAATATAATATATTGTTTTCTATTAAGTTTATACATATATTCATTGTTATTTTGGATATGATAACATTTTTTAAGAAAGTATTTTACACATACTTGTTCTGTCCAATTTGATTGTGTGGGATTTTCTAGACTTGATTAATCTGGATAAATATTATGTTTGTGTCTTATTTAGTATTGAAGTTATGTTCCAAAAACCACTGAATAAACCAATATGACTCAGTTTGGACAGAATTTCCAAAAACTGCATATACTCAAAAGCAATTACTTTATGGAGATTATAAAACACAACTTTAAGTGCAATTTACATTTTTCCCTATTTTTGAGATATAAAATATTTTTCATTTTTATCATCAAACTGATTTTTCTTACTGGGAAATTTGTATTGTGACTTTTGATATTTTCTTATATTTTTTGCTACTAATATTAGTTTCCTTTGCCAAATTGTTTTATATATTTTTACCTTGTTTATGTATGTGTAATTTAAATGCTCCTTACACCATATATACATACAAAGCAGCCCACACTTAAAATAGAGAGAAAAATGAAAGGATAAATAATGATTTCTTGTGGAATTTTATAGTTTTCTTTTCAAATCTAAATGCAGATCAATAAAAATTGAATGCTGTTAACCAATTGCTGAAATCTTCCCTTTTGTTTTTCTGAGTTTTTCAAATAAAATCAAATGGAAACTTAAAAACATTTTTGTTTGATTCTTTCACAAGCTTAATTTTATTTCACTATATTTTAAGGAAAAGAGAAAGAAAATCAACAATAGTATTATAAGGGAAATAAAAAGTTGCATTTTATTGTATAACCAATTAAAAATCTTGTACTTGATGAACTCAGATATCTTTAATTATTTTCAGTGTAGACGAGAAAATAAAAAAATATTTGCAAGGAATAAATATTGAAGATGTGGATCGATAAATCGATATCCAGATATGAAATTATTAGATGAATTTTTTCACTGTATAACATTTAATCTAAGTGATTAATATTCATTAATGAATCAAGTGCATTAACAAGGAAAGAGATTATATTAAAAAATAAATATTCATTGTATAAATCACTATTCATTGTATGCAGTTCGTTCAGATTAACTTTTTTGCTTTTTTTTTTCGCACCATTTTGATTGTATACCTTCCTTAGGTAGTTCAGGTTGTTCTTAAATGTTGGAGGGTAGATGGTCAAAATATTCTTAAATGTTGGAGGGTGGATGGTCAAAACATTATGAAAAAACAAACAACAGCAACAAGGAAATTAGTCTCAACCAAACACTTACAATGAATAAAACACCTTGTCAAACAAAATTTGGATATGAACTTATACATTCATCAAAGTAAGGGGATGAAAATTTGAAATGTTGATTCTGATAATTTTGATTATAAAAAACAAATTTTACTGATGTTTGGAAGCTATTTTTTTAATAAAAAGATGTATCAATAAAAAAGGTTACAAGTTAAACCTAGGAGCCCTGAGGGTTGACTTAGAACGTGACCTCAAAGGAAGAGAGTGCAGAATCATGCCTTGAAGGAGGTTATTGGCTGCACCAACATAAATAAGGAAGTTAACACAGCTGAACTTAAGATATAGATGCACAAGACAATCAGATAACAGGAAGTTATACATATACCCAACCTATTACGGCAGAAGCAGAATGTCTCATACCCTCACAAGAAGATGATCAAATATTTGAAGAAACCACATACCCTTGATTTGGTTTATTTGATGGAGTCCAAATATGAATAAATAATTATTTTATGTATGAAAAATTTCTCTTGTATTCTTATCAGACCTTACTATCATAACATCATATCTAAATCCATCTATTCCCCCCACCATTCAAATCTTTTAATAGATTTAAGAATGGCCTGCAAGTCCTCCAAGTTTTTTATAAGTACTTGTCTGATTGTCATAATAGTGAAATTTTATGTACTTTCATAATTATCTTATCTAGGCACTAGTAACAGTAAAAATCTTTTTCTCTATGATTCTATAATATTTTATACATTTGTTTAACCAAGTGTTTGTAGGACACACTGAATGATTACAAAACAACTTAATAGCCTACCTGAAGAGATTTCTACAGATGTAGATGTACATACAAAGTAAAATGGTTCATATCAAACAGTGATAAAAGCAAAATATCTTTATTCTCAGAATTTTAACAGAAAAATTATTTTTTTATAAAAATAAGAAAATAAATACAAATGGCTATATTTCATGAGTGATAGCATATGAAACATTGATTAGATTTATATTGTAATAAAAATCAGACATTTGTATGTTAGGTTATACATTTAAGTATTTCTTTCCTGAAGTACTGTAGATGATCATAGCTCTACATAGATTCCTTTCCTCTTTATATCTGAAAACTGCATAGTGTCCTGATTGTCCTTGGGAAAAATAGTGGTGTGGTTTCTCAATAGTTTTGAATTCAGGATTGTCCTTTTCCTAGACTATTTGTCAAACAAAACTCAAAAGCTCAGTCTACCTTGCTATTTAACCCATAGCTGGGGGGGGCAACAAAGTGTATAGAAACCAATTTAATGATTCTTTTCGGTTGATTTTTGTTATTTTATTTTTTATACATCAAAATATAAAAATTGCAATCATTTAAAGAATTTAAGTTTTAACATTTCAAAATGAAAAGAAAATGGCTGAAAAAAT